AATGGTGGACAGGACCACATGGCTTGAGTCCTGAACAGAAAAGGTGATCACATGCTTCAATGTTGGTGGAGAAGGGCGGAAGAGAAGCGGAGTCCCTGGTTTTATGCCCCCTCTGACCTTTGATCTTGAGCTTGTATTCTTATTGGTTGTCAGACTCCCATGGGGCCATGCAGTGGCAATTCTCTAGGCTGTTTTTTGAATCCAGGTTTGGTTGAGTTCTTAGATGCCATGTGACGAGTTGGGTAAAGGGCCAATATTACCATGCCTTAATCCCATCATTCTGGAGCTGAAGGGGAGAACTCTTTATTATGAAAAGTAGACTAGCTCAAGCTTTAATGGCTCATTGAGAAAGGGTGGATGGGTAGGAAGCTGCAGGCAGCTATTCTGTCTTTTAAAACATGTTTCCTCCTTTTCACATCCAGAGAAATATTCTGCCTTTTCAATATTTCCTGGGTTATTTCATTTTTTCTGGGAGAGGACTGGGTGATAACTTCCTACAGTAGGATATTTCATTTTTCTGGGAGAGGGCTGGGTTATAACTTCCTACACAAGGAAGCCCACAGCTTACAGACAATTAATTCCACATTCTTTAGCAATGAATACTATAAATAAATGTTTGTTCTTCTTCTGTTGCCCAGCCTCAAGCACATTTTTAAAGGGGGAAAAAACTAATTTAAAAGTCCTCTGCTACTCTGCCTTGACTCTTCAAAAGACCTAAGGAATAGCCAGTTTAAAGTATTGGGAATTCCCTGTTCCCTCCTGATTTGAAGTGCAGGATCTGATTTCATTCTAAATCAATGGAATGTCTGAATTAATTATCTTGTACACATTTACTTGTTCAAAAGAACGTTGCAGAATAATATTGGGAAGGTAATTTTCCATACTTTTACATCCAAAGATGTGCAGTGTGCCACTTATGTCGGAACAATCTGGCAACTGGCTTTTGCCTTGCTGTATTTATATTTTAAAGGACAGAACTTGGTGCAAAGAAAAGTTCAGGATTCATCTGATCTAGCATCCTGTTTCCAATGTGGGGCAATTGGATACTTCCAAAAACTAAAGCAGGGCATGAAGAGTCTCCTCTGTTGTTTTGGTCCACCAATTTATATTCAGAACTGCATCGTCTCTGAATAGAAAGCTTCAGTAACCATCATGACCCATGGCCTTTGATAGGCTCACCCTAGTTCTCTTCTAGTAAAACAACAAAACGTTCCTTCTTTCTTTTGCAAAGCATTAAGCAAAAATCCAGTTTGGATCATACCTACAACTTCTGCAACCTTCACAATCGTTTTGTGCAAAATTACTTGCCAGCTAGCCATGCTCATTGGAATTGGGGGGAGGGGGACGTACAATGCCGGGCAGCTGATGAACCACAGAGCAAGGCCCTCCTGCCGCCTTTTCTAGACAAAGAGGCAGCTCTGCAGGAAGTTCACGCGGAGTCAAGTGCTAATCGGACCATGTGATCGCTGTGCCTGATTAGAGGTTTGTTCTGGGGAGCTACAGGCTAGAAGAGAAGAAGTCTAGTGTGGAAAGCATGTGATAGAGATTTTGTTTTGTGCGTGTTTTCGCGGGATTTACAGCAGGAAAGAGACAGAGGTCTGGCCAATACGCAGCCAACAGAGAGTAGCACCAGGTAAGAAAGAGAATCAGTCCGTGTCAAGTTAAAATGCTGTTTGTTAAAGACGTTTGCCCAGTAGAACTGAGCGAGCAGGAGCCTAGATGCGGAGGATCGAGTAAAGGTAAGGCTCTGTGACTGGAAGTAGGTGACGGGCAAGGAACCTTTGTAGGTAGAGGCCCTGCACTCGTTGTGTCTTTTTTCCTCGGGAACCGAGGCTAACTCTGAAATCCTCGCACCAACTGCAGTATTACATTTGGTAACCAGCATTGTTCTGTGATTTTAGGATCAGAAAAAGGATTATCCCCCTTTACATAGTAGATTTCAGCTAAACGGGAGTATTGGAAAGACTATCCAGGAGATCATGTGAAAGAATGTTTCTGCTCATTTTCTTTTCCGGAAACGAAAAACATATATTAACTATTACTAAATGTTCATTGTATTAGCCATTTCTAATATTTCCTGATTAATCAATGCAAAGCATGAAAACAAATCTTTCTCAAGTGCTTTATCTGAAAAACTGGCCAGAGTGCTTGGAAAGGCCATCAGCAGGCCCACCCTGCTTATTTACAAATTAATCAAGAAAACTGATCTTGCAAATATATTAGCCTGCCAGAAATACTTAATGGCAAATAGAAAATTGAGAGCTAATAAGTGTTTGCAAATTGGTCCAAATCCAATAAGTCTGAGCAAATGGCCTGCAGATCCAGTACTTTTTACTATCATAGTAAAACTAATTAAAAGTAAATTATTTTACTAAAATTCACTAACATTTTTTTAATTTTTAAACAAACAGAAACAAGACACATACAGCCTTCCATTTCATATAGTGTGTCATTTGGTTACATGATTTTGTGCGTCCTTTCCATGGTCACCGCTTACAATTATATATCGAATCACAAATTGTTCATTAGATAAACATAAGTATATTTTTGTTATATGTCACTTTTTCACCTGTAATTATTATTCCTTAATTTTAAACAAGATATTCTAAATATTGAATCCATACATACAACAACATTTTGCATCAATAGTTCAACTCCAATTATTATTCCTACATTTTAAACAAAATATTCATAAATGTTTATCTAATGAA